CCGATCTGAACCTATTCAAGGAAGCACTAGGTCACCTTTAAAAGACATTTAGCTTTTCTTTTTCTTCATATTTACAGTTTTATTCATTCATGCTTATGCAATGATAAAGTAAATGATAAATCTGGTAAATCTTAGTTTTCGTCCTTCCTGATACGTTAAGCGTTGCTCTGACTGATTTTATTTTCCCCGTATGGTTCACATATTTAATGTTTCCCCTTGATCTTTAAAGGACGCAGTGGAAAATCTTCCTCCTCCTCCTCGGCCTCCGCGACCCTCTGACCCGGCGCCCGGCATTCCTCCACCCAGGCTTCCTCCGCGGATCCCAGAAAGGTAAGGAGGCGTAATTAGGGGCAGAAGGCGCCGCTGAAGAACAACCAGAGAGTCGGTTGGTGATAAAGAGGAAGCGTTCACCCTTCAGCGAGTCTGCAGCTGTGAGCTGGAGGGGAAGAGTAAGACAGTAATAATATAAAAAAAAATACAGACCTATAAATATCTGCAGTGCAGAGTCACATTCTCAAAAACGTTTAGGTGACAGTTTTAGACCGAGGTCCAGAAATGTCATCCTTCCACCAAATTTAACGGCTGAGTTCAACATTTTCCAGAAGAAAAAATGCAAAGCGTAAATTGTTTGTGTCTTTTACACAATAAAAAGATCTGTGAAATGAATATCTACTGATTAATATCCTGTGACCTTTATTATTGGCATGATGCAGAATTTCCAAACACTTTATTCATCAGAACGACAGGAGTTAAGAAGGGCAGACATTAAATGTCACATGTGCTGCTTTAACCTGAAAGCCTGATATGGAGGTGCGATTCATCTGGGTGGGTTTATTCATCCGAGCTTTGTGGAACTGCAAGATCTTATCAGCATCGCTGTTTTTAGTTTGATGAGGCGACACATTTACATTTTTTTTCTAATCCGAGAAGACTAAATGTTTGTAAGTAGGCCGCGTGGTTTGATAGATGTGTAACAGCGACATGGGAAAGTGCAGCGCTCTGTGAAAAACGCGCGTTTGATTTATTTACAGCCCGAGAAGCTTTCAGAGAACAAAACGACGATGCAGCTCAGATGCGTCTAATTCTGTCGCAGCAATAACCAATAAATCAATTAATTACGAGATAAATTAAAACAAACTCAGTCATTTCTGTTTGCATGATTTATCTTTTCTCTCATTCTACCAAAAACTGGAAGGTAAAAGTCTTCAGTTTGGTGTTTTGGTCTCAACTAGCCGTTTGTTTTAGGGTAATTTTGTTTACAGTCTTCATAATTCATTTCATTTGTTGTTTTCTTTACTTATTTTGAGTTTTTAAAATGTCTTCCAGTGTTAAAAATTATTAAATTTATATCTAATGAACATTTAAGAATATGTTCTTGTATTATTGTAGAAACTTCTTGAAGAATTTTAATTATTGAGTTACAGCATTTAATAAAGTATTTTTGAATTTAAATTACTGATTATTATATAACAAGATTATCATCAAAATAACTTTTGTTGTCCTTGCAGGTTTAAATTCATTCTAATTTCCAGCTAATGGCAAAATAAAACTGCTATGCAATTAAATTTTTTATTTTAATGGACCAGAGTCAGAACCAGGACATTTACTATTTAGGATTTTAACAATAATTAGCAACATTACAGTTTTAACTATTTTAATGTGAATTTCTTCCCCTTTTTGCTGCTCAGCATTAAATTAAACATTCAATTTTCAAAAAACAAAGTAACTCGGCCATGAATATGTCACATTTATTCCAAAACCTGATTCTTAGTAGATAATATAAAATAATGATAATAAACATTTTTCAAACAAAGTCTATAAACAGTGTCAGGAAATTTTTCTAACGTTCTAATTTTTTTTCTAGAAATGTTCTGGGATTAGTTTCAGGATTTTCGTGACGGCTGTGTTTTCTGCAGGGTGCCAGAGACGGTGCACGAGCGCTACATTTCCTGCCCGACGCGCGCCCTTCCTCAGAGACCCGCGCCCAGACAGACGCAGGCGGCGCCGCCGGTTCCCCGCCGCCGGTGATGGCCGGCCGCCTGCAGCCCGGTCGGACTGAACCACCGGTACCAAGGAGAACTGGTGGCTCCCTGCGGCTGAACGTGATGCTCTGGAGATTTTGTTTTGTGATCTGAAAAAAATAGTGCGAATTGTTTCTGTGAATTATGTTTTTTATTTGACATTATAATGAATGTAAATAAGATATTTTTGTAAAAGTGCCATTTAGGGTCACACTAGATGTTTAAACCCCCAAATTAGTCCAACTAAAGTTCACACATAAATCTGTTGTCCATGTTCCAGCATCACAGGGAGGATATTTAATTTATTGAGTCCAGCAGGAGCTCAGGATGGTTTTTATAGATTCTTCTGTTCCTTTAAGACACTTTTTATGTGTTTTATTGCACATGAGAGCATCAGAGTCCAGGCAGATGATTTGGTGTGAATGTTGCAGGTTTTAATTGTCAGCTGCGTCGGGTCGGACCGATGGACCCGTCTCCAACAGAAACGCCTGTAAATTATGTATGAAGACTGGATGTGCTGCTGTAAAATATCAGTGTAAATTCTGCCTTAATGTTGCTTACTTTACCTGACCTGCTCTTGTTTGCACAGTCGAGTTTAAATGGTGTAACTTTGCATTGTTGTGCTTGATAAAAGGTTTCCCAAAGTAACTGTCGGCTGTTTGTTGCTGCTGGAAGAAATGAGTTTTACGACGGCGCGTTACTGCTACCTACGGTACTGCAGAAAGGACAAAAAGGAGCACATTTCTGCCAAAACACTTTTCAGAAAAAAATGGAAATGTATGAGCTTGAAAAGTTGAAAATTTTGCCTTGAAATTTTTTTCAAAAGTTTTTTCTAAAACATTTCTGAGATTAATCTCAAAATGTCTCTTCTTTCAAGTGTTTGAAATTTGACAGAAATTTCCTTGCAAATTTTCAAAATTTGAAAAAAATTTTCCTCTGGCAGTTTCTGAGCTTGAAAATTTGCTAAAAAAAAAAAAAAATTGCATTAATCTCAGAAATTTTCTAGAGAAAAATTTAAATTGAGTTTCAAAGTCAATTTTTTTTACTTTAGACAATATTAAATGTTTTTTTCTTGTTGACATTATCGGAGAATAATGTCAACATTTCTGATTTTTTTTCCCTAACAGATCTTTGACTTAGAGCTCAGAAATATTATTTTTTCTATGGAATTTCTTAAATATCAGAATTTCACTTTTTTTTCCAAATATTCAATTTTGGATATTCCAAAATTTCCACATTTTTTTTCTAGAAAAATTCTGAGGTTATTTTTCTTGCAAATTTTCAAACTGAGAAATTTTCAGCTTTTTTCTAGCAAAATGTTGAACTTCTCAAGCTCTGAATTTATCAAACAAGGACATTTCTTGCACATTTCAAAAATATTGTGAGAAAAAACTCAGAAGTTTTGGCATTACTCTGAGAAATTTTCTATAAAAGTTAAAAAATGTTCCTTTTATTTTTAAGAAAATTTCTGAGATTGATCTAAAAATTTCTGAGTTCCTTGGTAAAATGTTTTCTATCTAAATTGGTCCTAATATGTTGTGCCAGTTTTGACTTCTTTAAATCTTGGCTCTAAATCGGTCCAATAGCGCCCTCTCTGATATTTGCGATGTATTGCAGAAGTGAAACATTTTTATCCTTTATCCAGAGGAAGGCAGAGTACCTACATAAAGTATTCACATAAGAGTAGCACTGTTTCATAATAAAATCACAGAAGTAAAAGTTATAAAATACTCTTAAAATAACTTTTTCCCCCATAAAGCTACTCAGGTAAATGAAATTGGTTTCTACCAAATTCTGCTTTCATTGTTCTTCTGATTCAATGGTGTCCAAACCAAAGTTGAAGACACTTGCAAGATACTTTTTCTTTTCAGTTAAATGCAAAATAACAATAATAATACATATAATACATATAATAACAAGTAAAACTCTGGTTTTTGTGGAAATGAATTTTGTAAATCATTGATGATGATTTTGATTAAGTTTCTTGAAATTTGGGATTCTGTTTACTGCAAAATTAAGAGAAATAATGAAACCTGGATAATAAAATAAAAATAAATAAAATAAAATATTTTTGTTGTACCAAATACTGGAGCATGAAATAAGAAACGGAAACACAAAATTGAGAAAATCAAATAGTAAAATTAAACACCTTGGTTTTAGGCAATAATTTATAATAAAGTAAAGAATATTCCTCATTTTTTTGCTCCGAGCTGTAGTGTTATAATGTGGCCACTTGATGGCGCTCTAACCTTCTGTACTTGGCAGGTGGGCTCCATCTAAATGTTCTCATCTACAAACTCAGCTGTCTGCTGAATCAAAGTTTAAATAGTAATTTATCTTATTGGTTTATATAAATTCAGACTTCCAGAAGGAACTTCCTGCTTAACCCTTCAAAATAAAACAGATTCAGTTCAATTAAAGTTTCTGTTTTTAATAAAAATATGCTCTAAAGCTGATGTACTTTCAAAAAATATTACAGTGAGGGGGTTTTAATTAATTAAATTTCCTATTTATTGTTTTTAAATAATATTATACCTACAACCTAAATCTAACCTTTGACCCCAAACTGAAAAACAAATGATAAACCTTTATTTGAATCCAATAATTTCTCACCATCCAAATCAATTAGTTACTGAAAAGTTTTAGATCCCTTTTGGTTGTTTTTGCATAGATTATTATATATTTTTAATAAGCATTATAGAAACATAAATGTTAAATATTGTCTTCAAAACCATAATTGTAGACATAAAATCCCTAAAAACTGAGGTTTGAGTTTGTTTAATCCACTAACATTTTTAATATTTATTAATATTCTTTATTTTTTTATTAAAATTACTTATATTATTTTATTATGGGGTTGTTGTTGTTTTTTTATCAACTTCATTTTTATTTTATCAACTGTAAGGCAAGCCGTAAGTAGACATAACAGGCTGCTTCCTCCTGACCGGGCTTTTATTGTGAAGGGCCATGCCCCCCGGGCCGGCCGGGACGGAGGCTCCTTGGATGCGCCGCGGTGATCACGCAGGACGGTGGGGCGCTGACAGCCGGGACGCTGCCTGCGGAGCTCGGTGAAGTGTGTCTGCCACCCCGAGCCTAAAGCTGGATTACCAACACGGCGAGGTAAGCTGTCCTGACGCGGGTTTTTTTATTATTTTTAAATCATTATTAATATGATTATTTTACCCTTTCTTCTCCTCTATTAGCTGAATTTAAGTCATAATGGCGTCATTTAAAGTGAGTCCTTCTCAACATTTCAGTGGTTTTGTTCCAGTTTGTGTACTTTAGTTGGTCGGTGCGTGTTTTATTCCGTGGCTGTGGCAGTGGGACAGCAGCCGCCGCTGCTGCAGTGTACACACACAAACCCTCGCCGTGGAAATGCGACCCACTCTGCAGCACTCTGCAGGGGCGCAGCTAAGCACTTTACAGGCACCCCCGGGGGGGGGGGGGGGGGTAAAGGGGAAAATATGGAATTATAAAAATTTTTTTT